GGCTATATTATCCGCATTTTACAACATTTCGCAACGAAACTTTGGAATATTACTAATTTTGTGATGCTCTTTCATGCTATAATGGAATTTTGTCTAGACTTGTTGAGATCAAAATTTTGGTTAATTGGGGAATGGTCCATTGGTTAGACTTTCGCGTCTTCTCGGATAAGGACGTTAGTTAAATCGTAGGTACCTCGGATAGTTCGGATCTCCTCTCAACTGGACAATAGCCTGTCGGGAAATCCGCTCACCAATGAGTGAGACACTCAATAAATTAATAATATATGTAAATGTGATTTTTAATCAATATATAACCAAGACGTACCATTTTCCTGCGCAGCACCACCGCCATCAAGGGGCGCGGGTTCAAATGAGGTTCCTCGAACAGTGAACACCTTCACTTTATCATTTGATTTGATCGTTGTCACGGCGTTCCCTAAAAATGTACATAACATTGATTTGTTGTTATACTCACGGCAGTTACATAGCTACAAACGCCTGCTTAGATTCTCGACTCGTACAAAAATGATTCAGTCCAGTGAACTGTCATACCAGCGTAGATCAAACGGACAAACGTGTCTTCGGATTGGATCTCAGTCACGTCAGAGATTGGAGAGACATCTAGCAAGGCAGCAACTCTTGGTAAAATATTCTAGAGAATACAGATACTAAGGTGTGAGTAGAACACGCAAAAATCTCACAGCTTGTGAACAAGATGTGTTCGCACTGCTTGTTCCCATTTGTCGACAAGTCTGAAAAAAGTTGTTATCATTTGGTAACAAGGTTGATGAGGCCAACAGACTCGCAACAAGTTGTTCCAACAAGTCCGATATCGTCTGCACGTAACAAGTTGATGACAACTTGTAGCAAGTCTGTTACCGTCATCGACCTTGTAACATGTAATAACAACTTGCTGCAGACTTGTCACAACAACTGGGAACAAGCAGAGCTGTAACAACTTGCGCGTTTTTACGTTGTCATATCATATCTTGGAATACATTGATATCCGGAAGGAACTAGACTCAGTTCCGAAATATCACCACTCGAACCGACTTGACCGCGTAGCTCAGTTGGCAGAGTATTGGAGAAGTATCCCAAAGGTCGCGGGTTTGATTCCCACCGTGGTCAGGCAAACTTTTCAGCTTGCCCGGTGTGGATGCACACTCAGAGTGACACCACAAACATCATATTCAGCCACCATTCAAAAGCTTTCAGAAATTACTGGGGGGGGGGGGGGGG